TTTCCTACAATTTTACTACTTATATACTATGCCCCCCTACATTTTAATTTATTTCCAACAAAAATACAGTGAAGTTCTTTATTCATTTCTCTCTAGGCTGACAGTAGCCTACTTCCATGGTCGGTAAGGAGAAAACAGGAAAAAAGGCTGAAGCTGGGGAAAGCTGTTCCTTGTCATCTGTGTATTAACCTCGAATACTCTGAATTGAATGAAACAGTAAAAAGTGTGTTGCTTCTTTTTTTTTTTTTTTTTTTTTGGTGACTGGCCAGTATGGGGATCTGAACCAATGACCTTGGTGTTAGAAGGCTGTGCTTTAACCGAGCTAATGAGCCAGCCCAAAACTATGTTGCTTCTGTTTTGATTATTACATTTGTGTCGAGCTAGATTGTTAACAATTATTGTGATAATAAAATGCCAGTCTTCTACTTACAGCAAGATGGTGAACTGGGAATCAAATTTACCCTTTCCCCGCCTGACACAAATAAACAAAAGACCAGACACAATACATGAAAGAATACTTTACAAGACACCAGACACCGGTAACAAGAAGAAGTGATTCCTGCAGACAGGAAGGAAATAGGTGATTGTCCCAGCTCACTACCTTGAGAGAGTTGCAAGGCTGTGGCACAGCGAGAAACATCGCACGCAAAGCTCAACAGATTCCCTGATTTGAAATGATGGATGTAAAAGTCTAGAGTGACAGAGGACACTAGACTTTGTAGGACAGAGAAAGAACAGAAGGTATACAGAGAGGGGATCCAGAGATCACAGTAAAGTGTCTCTGATTAGAGAAACAGAATCGAGCTTTCACACAGGGCTGGTCATGGTGCTTCTTTCCACCAGCCTGGAAAAATCCATAATTAATGGAGCACTAGCTAGAATATTCAGAAAGACATTGCCTCAGTGGTGGGAAATAATTTTCTCCAAACTAAATGCTTCTCTGGACCCAACTACCAAATCTTAAAAGCAAGACCCTAAAAGATCAAGCTGTTACCAAGGAACTAACTCCATTCCAACACAGAGTCCAGGAATATTTCTTGGAATACAAAAATGATTAACATCGAACATGGCAGAATACACAGTGTCTAGCATCCCATCAAAGATTACAAGGCATGCAAAGACACAATCCATGAGAGAAATAATTTGATAAGTACAGTTTATTGTATATACCTTATGAAGAAATTAGGCACCGAAACAAAATGGATATTTGAGCTCCTGTTCATTTTGCATTATCAATTTAAAACTGCCAAATTATAAACTTGTATCAAGAAAACTATTTACGAAACTTTTTAAAACAAAACTTTGTTCTAAATTAAGAATTCAAACATAGCCTATTTTACTATTAATATAAGTATCATGTTACTATTAGTATTTATGTGAAGTATAATTGTCAGCATTTTAAAAGTTATCAGTAACTCAATTTATTATTTACTGCTATTATAATTATTGTTATTATGATTATTTTGGTTTGTGAAATCCAGAAGTCTGGGATCCACAGCTATAAAGTCAAAGAGTCATGTTCAGGGCAACAGGCTGACAAAGATCCCTGTTTTCCCACAACTTGGTACATTACTCTTCATAACTAGAGGTGGTTTCACCCCTTCATGCCTTTTCCCTGTCCGTGCCTACCACGCACCCAACATCCCGTATTATAATCATTGTTGACCTCTCCCTACCTTCTTGGCTGGGGCATTTTACGTTGCTTCATGTGACTCATAGGACCTAGTACATTGCCTGACACATGGAAGATGTGATTGAATTAAACACCATTGCACAAATGGACGTGCGATGAAATATTCACCCACGCACAGATGAGGGTTTACTGCTGTGTGCTCTTGCTTGGGGCTTTTACTACAAGACACGTTTTATTTTTCAGATATTTTGGAGCTGGTCCAAGGCAGGGACAGTCACTCTTAATATCACAGGAGCAATGACCAATAAAGTTCAGTGTATAGATGGACACAGTGTCATTAGCTTTCTGATATCAATTGCAATGACACCCCCACCCCCACCCCCAGTTATTTGTCGATTTTACATTCATTCAGACTGTTTTTCCTCTAGGCAGTTGATGCTGATTTTGTTTTTATTATTACTGCTGAGAGACTTAGCTGTTCACTATGGCAATGATTCTCAGAGGGGTTAGAAGGGGTTTATAGAAAAATCTTTTGTGGTGGGGCAAACTATATATAATTTTCTGTTGGTGGTGCTAGGAATCCCTCTTCACCCTTTCCTGTTCTCTACTAAGAATCTACATGTCTTTCTATCAAGTGCTCTTGTGTGTTAAGAGCACAAAATAAAATAGAATGGTTTTCATCCTCCAAAAACTAAAAGATGACCGTGGTATTGTGCGGAAAATGACCTAAGCACACACACTCAATTCACGCTGCTCTTTTTTGGAAACATAAACTGATGCCATAAATCGCTTATTTCCGCAGTATGATTTCCCCAAAGATCCCATTTATAGTGAGGCATTTTAGGGGAAGGAAATATACTGGAAATTGGCCCTTTGACAAATTTACACTGTGAGTATTCACAGAACGATTGGATTTCTCTTACACTATCTTTTATTCTTGTGAGACTTTACTGGAGCCCAGAAAATTCATTTAAACTTTTTCTCATTGAAAGTGTGAATAAATGTTGTTTCTTTTTTAAGTACTGCAATCACAGCATGATAGGCAAACTGTAGCTAATGAAATAGTAGCTACCTGGTACCAAAGCAGAAAGCTGTAACTAGGATAAACTGGCATGGAGCCCTGGCAACACACACATTGCTTGCTGAGGTTACACGGATAGCAATGATTTATACTTGACAGACAGACATAAATTTGACAGAACATATAAACATTTAATTTGTATGCAAATATATGGGGGTTTTCATATGTGTAGCTAATATATTGCTCCCAGTGTCATAAAAGGAGGTTATAAAATATTTAGCAAAACATGACTTCATGCCAATTTTTTACAGATAAAAAATGTCTTAGCGGCCATCCTAGCACAAATAAAGACTTATGACAGTATATCTAATATGTGTGTACAAAGAGTTGAGCCTGATAAATAGGTTAAAAATAGTCAACTCATAATTTTTATATCCATAGATTATCCAAAAGTGTTATTGGTGTTGCTTCCTCACTAAATCTTACAGAGTAAAACTCATACTTCCCAAAAATCCTCATAAAGAAAAGACATGATGAAATACTGTATTTAAGGGGCTTTATAATTACCATATAAATGTAAATTTTGTTATTTTAATATGTTTTGTACTATACATATCTCTGTATTTCCACATTATTGCCACATATAAAAAATTGTTGACAGCGCTCTTGCCTTCACAGGGTCATGAAGGGCATCACACTCATCAGTGCCTGGCACCCATGTTTTAGGACACAGGTCTGGCCAACTGTGAGCAGGCATTTGGCCATTTTTGCACAGATGGGCTTATATATAACCAGCCAAGTAATGATATATTCATTGGGTACCAGGTGTTGGTGATAAAAGGAATGTTCACAGCCAAAAACTTGACGACACTGTCCAACTTGAGTTTACTTACATATATTTTGGTTTGGGAATGGTTTTTCAATCAGTAATATAAGCCTAAGATATTGCCAGTTTTCTGAAAAGAAATTAGATTTGTATGTGTGGGGCGAGGAGGAGCCTTCCACAGGAGCTCAGCAGGTGCCAGGTATAACTCAGCGTGTTCTGAGTAGACTGGTTGACCCAAGGATCTGTCATTCTTCTACCACAGCACCTCAAGGGATACATCTAACTGGCTGGTACTAAGTTAGGTGATGGGGAGAAAGGAACTACTTGTTCATGGTATTGGGTCCCCGTGCAGAAAGGCACAGGGACACTGCACGAAACCCATACATTATAAATTATGGCCAGTTAGGTTGAGTGGCTTAGATAAAGTTCCTAGCAATCCAGAATAGTTAGCGACAGAACCCCAGGTGCCTGTTTTTATACCTCCTGTTCTAAGGAAGGTTGTAGTATATACCCCTGAGAAACATAAGATTAATGTTTTC